ACGATGTTTTGTAACCACTGTTTTAGAACTGCGATATTTTCTCGTTGCGATGTTTTCTCCCACGATGTTTTGTAGCACGAAGTTTTTGCCTTGCGTTGTTTTCTCCGCGACGTTTTCGTCCGCGATGTTTTTGCCGCGATGTTTTCGGCTGTAACCTGCCGTTTAAACTCAGTTAATAAATTCATGCGCTGTTTATTAATTTCATCTTCGCTGTTTTTAAAACTCATTGCCAAATGGCTGGTTTTTCATTACTAGAATGCTGTTTGTACTTCATTCGTTAAACTTGTTTGGCTGTGGCTTATTTATTGGTCAGGTTACGTAGTGTTTGAATAAAACCAGCTCAACGAAATTTTTGGCCAGTATAGTTCTACCTCTCTTCACTTCTTGTATTTTATAGACAATGACTTTTCCGGATAGGAGTTGAGAGATTGAATTTCTCTACATTAAAGGTAATGAAAGCAATCTCTAGAGGCACTGCAAATGAAAGATGTTCATCCTTGAACTGTAGCTGATACTGGGAGCGGAAGCTGCTAAACATTCTGTAGCCACTCAGGCATTTGCACTGCCATCCATTCTTGTTTGCACAAATATTTATGTCATTAGGAAAATCTCCCCTTGGAATAGATTTCTTTCAAAAATGCTAAGGAAGAGCAAAAAGTATGAAAATCGGGAGACGTTGAAGGTGGTATTCTAACATGTTCAAATGTTCCTTACTGCGATAAACAAATGCTATTTGTATCTTCAATTTTCAACCAACTTGAAAGATAAAAATGTCCGGTTTCTCGGCAAATTTTTATTTAACCCTCTTTCATGATATTTTTGTGTTTTTCTTGGACCTTTTTAACAAACTTTTAACTGGCATGATAAGGGTCATGTTCTTCCTACTGTTCTCGTTAAATCATGACACGATTTTGCAGCATAGTTGGGCGACATAAAATTCGTGGCATCACTTGCCCACGAGATCTGTAATAATTACTTTCCGTAAATGAATGGGAAAGAGTTTTATCTTACCAACAAAGAAAGTTCGCAAATTCAAACAACAACATAATAATAATAATAATAAGTAAATAAGCAAATAAATAGTTCAAAAAATCTCAAAATTTTCAGATTTTAATATTAGCGCCAAAGGGTTTTTTTTTTTTTTTTTTTTTTTTTTTTTTTTCACATTGACACGTTTTGAGGATATTTAGGCTAAATATTTCAAAACAGTACAGCTTTAGAATTTCTAATAGACAGTCTCGAGCGCTAGAGATAAAAATATTTTATTCCGTACACTGTTGCCATTGCTCCCTACAAAATTATTGAATTTTTTAATGAAAAATTAGTTAAAATTTTACAACGTTACTACATTATTCAAAATTTGATGGCTCTATGTACCGCTGTTTTTACACAATGCGATAAACATGCATACATTCATGCAAATTCTTAATTATATAATTTCTTTAATTATAATACAGGGTGATAATATTTTGTGGTAACAATTTGAAAATTGAAAAGGGGCATTTATAGTGAACCTGCGCAAAAATGCCGTATCGAGACTAATAGCCCTTCTGGGCTAACATCCTTTTGGGTAGGAAACAAATGAGACCTCCCTTCGAGGTACAAAAAAAAAATGTCGGAGTAAAATTACTGTACCTATCCGTAATATTTTCCACAAAAAATAATCCCTGCTTTGTAAAAATTAATTTATGAGTAGAAGAACATAAAATTAGTTTCTCAATTAAATCGAAAATTTTATAGTTATTGAAATTAACGTTAATAAAAGGTATGAAAACAATTAATTTTGGAACATATTTTTACCTTTTTGAATTTCATTTACTTCAATCATCGACAATTTATTGAGATTTACTACATTTTTTGTTAAAAGTATCTGCAGCTTTCTCACTTACAAAATGATTTGCGGTTTCCGCTTAATAAACAACAGTTCGATGACATTGAGACACCCACATAGCAGTTTATTGCAGTATCTTGCCTGTTTGGTACCATATTCAATTCAAAGATTTTATGACTTATGAAAAAATAACATCACATGCCCGAATTAAAACGAAAGGCGTATTTTTCTGAATGAGATTTTCTTTAAATCAAGTCATTAAATGACGTAACCTGTGTTTTAGAATCGGGCAATTTTTCTTCATTTACATAAAATTTAAAACGCAAATAAAACTCAGAATAATATACTTCTTTTTTAATACTTGGAATTAATACGTGTCTTTATTTTAAAAATGATCCTGAAGTAAATTTTAATCACAAAATTATTAATTGGGGTTAATGAAAAAACATCCTACTTTTATATTTTCAGTGCTCTCGTGCTCTAATGCAAATACATCTTTAAAATAGCACTTGAAAAGTTCATCGGAGGGACATTTGCAAGTTTCGAGAATTTCGTTTTCGCATACTGCTTTCAAAAAGAAAGCTGTCTTTTTCAAAGCAAAATAATACAGCGCATGTTTACGTTTCCTAGGGGAAAATATGCAAATGACTCGTGAAATTTTAATCTTCTCGATCCTTTTACTTGAAACTGTCGATGGAGTCTATTAAGAAATGGCTCCAGTTTCGCAAAATTTAAATAAGGCTTAACCGTTTACAAAAGGCTTATTTTAAATTCTAAGTAAGTCTGCGTGGAAGTCTCCCAACGAGAGCTGTTTGTATAAAAGAGGATTTAACCGTTCTCCGAAGCTTAAAGTTCTTGAAATTTTGTATGTGAATTAAAAGTTCTTCGAAACTCTATAATACTGAATAGATGGATTTTTCACTGTCTGTGTTCCACAGGAGGATTTTCGCTCAATTTTTCTATGAAGGACTTGTAAGTGTACTAATTCTGCTTTGACCATTCTATGAATAGAGGTATTAAAAAAAGCTATAGAATTCGTATATTTCAAAAACTTTATTTTCAAAATAGCAACAGCTGCCTTTTACTGATTGCATAAAATAAGATAGAATACGTATATCCAATATTAGGAATGCCGCTTTTGAATTAAGCAAAGCAGCAGATTTAAAAAATATATATATCCAGATATATCCTTACTAAATCTGCGAGTGGTGTGATGGGTCACATGCATCACCTTAAGAACTCTTCTATAAACTATTTCCATATGAGCACTCTAGCTTTGACGTTATAGAAGAATAAAAATCAGTTTCCTGGCTGTTCATGTACTTCTCAGGTCAAACTGGATTTGAAAAAAAAGAAGAGAAATATTCTTTGCGTCTGTTAAGAATAATCTGTTGCGGAAGCCTCGATAGATAAGTAATGATACATTTAATACTTTCCCGAATATTTTTCTAAAGTATATCATGCAGAGTTTTAAGCTATAGCCCTTTGCTGCGACCAATTAACTTGTGCCTGCCTCACAAACCTTGGAATGCTAACAGTGATTTAATAAAAACTGGTTTGAAATTTAAATAAACACATACATACATAAATGAATGTTAAAACACTTGCTTCTGAGTGTTACATACTAGTTACACAAACCTTAAGCAGTTCAAATACCTTCCGTTTGTAGAGACATTAGGTTAATTGGAAAAGCCTGGGAGATGAAAGGTTGGCAATCGCCTTTCCCGGGAATCGAGCCACGGACCTCTGGAATACCGACCCAGCGTGCAGAACCACTACACCACGAAGGCACGCTAGGAAGGCGGGAGAAATACCTCATACGTTTTCAAATAACTTCTTATTATTAAATTTTATTATTATTTAAAATTCGTATTATTATATTTTATTTGACTAAATATTACATGTATTTGTCGGCGAGTATTTTCCAAGGCTTAAACTCTAATTGCAAACCTATCCTACTCAAAAGCTGGACAAACTGGCCTTTGCGGACCATTAAAGGTATAATTAGCGAAGTGTGTTCGCATGTAAAGAGTTCTCCTAAATCCGTACTCTGAAAGAGTGGTTTACTAGCTTAACTTTAAGGATCTACTCGACTCTAAATTCTATTTATTGAAGCTGTCAACAGTTCTCTTACAGAATCCTACCAATGTCGTATTCTATCTGTTCATGACAGAACTGAGAGAAGCATCATCTTAGTGGCTTCACACGAACACCTTAAAATAGACAGGTTGGGCAAAAATGAATAATATAATAATAACTTTAAAATAATCGCCACTTTCTGGTTTCAGACCTGTATAGTATGAAACGTTTTCCTTCAATTGTATAGGACGCACGATTTCAAGAATCAGATGATTGGACATTGATCCTAACATCTATTATTCAGCTCAAAATGTGACAAAGGGTTAGTCTTTGCTACCCTTTACCCTTAACTTCTCTGAAAGATGAGTTCCAGTATAGCACAAAACTAAATTCAATTCAATTATTGTAAATAAACTGGAAAATGACTGAGTATTATTTACACTTAAATTTACGTGCTTGTAGGCATTCACAAATACCGAATTACTTATTTCTTAGGAAAAGGCTTTTATTATAACATTTTCATAATCAACAATTCTTTATATAAATTCTTTATATTTCTTATAATTTGACATACTAGATCTTTCATCCAGCAATTCTTGTGTAAACTGATCTGTGAAAAATTTCCCAGTTAAGAGTCTCCCAGATGTTTTTAACATAGCACATTTGAAAATACAGTAAAATACATGTATTTTCAAATATTCAATTAACTCCTCATTATTCGTGTCTTTCTCATGACTAATTTGAATTTTGGGCCAGTTACCTTTAAAAGCTCCTCCGTGATTCTTTCTCAGTAAGACAGCCCTCGAGTGCGTTGACAACATAAGACTATAATCTATTAAATATCTTACTTTATTACGTTGATTATGTATAAATACCGTAATTTGGTAGGAAAATGAAAGATTTAATGTCGTGTGGCCTAACATCAGTAATAAAATATCTGTAACATCACGTAAGAATCAAAATGAGTTCACCAAAGACGTTTCTAATATTAAAAAAAAATTATGAAATTATTATCCTTTAAGACTACGTATTTAAAATATCCAGAAGATGTTTTACAATTAATGTAATTCTTTCTTTTTATTCATTCTAGGTGGCAAGAGCTTATCAACAGACAGGATTTAAGCGTGTGAAGAGAGGTTACAAGCAACTCCGTTTGAGGGAAGAAATGACTCCTTTATTATCACAGCCAACTGATCCTTATTTCCCTTATCAGTGGTATTTGGTAAGTATTATTATATTTATTAAACTCACAAACAAATATTTAGTAGAAGTTCATCTAGACAGTTTTAGGAAGAAGAGGCACTGTGCTGTTCCATTTTTTAGTACAATAAAACCTATTTGCTTCTTCAAAGGTTATTTTTATGAGAGGTTTCTATTCAATTATTTGTGCATTCTATGAAAAGAATTCTTATACCGTACCGTCGTTTGAAAAACGATTTCATTATCACGTCATATTTTCTACGAAATGCTTTAACAAGGGCAATTTATTTTAACAACTATAATTAATTTCTAGTAATTTTTTAGAGTTCTAATATAATACTCGTTATACACGACTCCATGTGGATAGAATTATATTGCTAGCGAAAGTAAAATGGTAGCAAAACTCACGCAGTAACTAATGCCAACATGATCATATTAAAACTGAGCATGTGTTTGTCAGTTAACACCACAAATATTAAATTTCTAAGGCTTGATTCTTCATACTAAAACATCATACAATACTGAAATAGTGAACTGCAGGTTTCAAAACAAAAACTAGAATTCTGATTTTAAAAACAATTAATATGTCTTTATATTACCTAGAGGGTGAAATGAATAAATACAAAATTACGCCAATAATACAAAATTATAAGTCTTTTTAATGTATAGAACCAGCAATTTATTCTATACTTCTTTTTTAATTAAGAATATTATTTTAATTTATTAAACTAATCTGTTCTCACTAAGTTTTAAAGCACACACCCTTATGAATATCAATTTCTAACTTGAAAAAAGAAAACTTCATGAGGGTGTGTGCACATTTATAACAAAGCCACCCTTATTAAAAGAAGGGAATGCTTATAAGTAAAATACTTAAAGGCTAAACTAAACTGTAGTAGTTTATTGTAAATTTTTAACCAATTAATCTTAATTTGCCCTTTATTCAGTCTCATTATGATTCATTATTCACATAAAGCTCAGTTTAAATGGGAATGTAATTAGCAGATTCAAAAAAGAAGTTTAAAGAAATTTAAGTCAGGTTCATTAAATGTAACTTCTAATTACGAGATTTGTTTTTCTCCGAAGCGAAGTAATTCTGCTGATCATATATGCCTGTCAATTTTTGTCTACGGCAGTCAAACATTTTGTTTTTCCATTTTTGATAACGAGTATAAATATTTCCCAAGTGTAAGTATGAGAACCGGCAAACTGCATTAAAAATTTAGAGTTTCTTATTTCTCCAAAATAATTTTTTTTAATTTGAAATGAAAAAACATGAATATTTTCATTATTTAAAACACCTCTGTGATCGGAATTATATGGTTACGACCAACGATTGCGAGAATAAAGATCGGATAAGCATTTTAAGCTTGGTAAACGGAGTGGATATATATATTGTGCTATCGATTGCAATAAAAAGGGAGGTGCACAACTATATGTTATAGCAGTCTCCTAGGCAAATTTCAACATTGTACGGCTGATCGTTTTTGAATTACGATACATCACGAAAAAGGTCCATTTTGAATCCATTTTACAATACGTTGTAGAAGTCCTTTAATCTGTCGTATGTACAGACATAGATATCACGCAGAAAAAGTGAAAATGGATTCGGGAGGAGTCAAAATTCATATTTCTGTTAAAATCCGATAATCACAATTTTTCGCGATTACAATAATTCCTGCACTTCGTGCAAGACAATAAAAGGGAAATGTGACTGAAAATTTTCCCCTTCTCTACAGATTTCCGTTTCTAACTCCGTTACCTTTCACATATAACAGTCATTGCTCATAACACTTTTCAGCGAGTAGGCACATTTCTATAAGATTATGTATTGCAGCCGTTGTTGCCTTTCATTTCAAAAATTATGGAATTAGGAACATTCCAGAAAACAAAAAAATTCTTTTGGCGTTGATCTTCTAAAACACCCACAATAAGGTACCTCAGGCAACAAAATTAATAATCTTCTGATGAATCATAAAATTTTGGAGGTGCTCCGTTAGGCATCATTGGAGGCTGAAAGAATAAAAGCATTGTTAGAGTTATTGGCTTCTGCCACTTTTAATGCAAAGAGATCTACAGATCTAAAACTCTGTGCTTAGATTGCATAAAATTGATTATGATTATCCCTCACATTTGATAATTCAGGGATGCAATGTGTTTTAAAGGCATGTATATCTTGATACATAAATAGTGTGAAAAATATTTTCGAAATGACGTTAATGCTCAGTGCTTTCTAATTAGCGGTACATAACTAAAAAACAGGATGCGTTATTATTGTACTGTGGCCAGTAAGGAAAAATAAAAAAATATTTCATTTTGTTAAACCAAATTCCAGTTCGTGAGTTGCTTTTAGATCGTGCGCTTTAGCTTAGGTGCTTTCACCAAAATCCCGTTTTTCCTTTTGCACGATATATTTATGCTTATCTCAATTCATTTTAAAGTATACTAATTTGAAGGTAAAATATGTTGATTGCATTTTTATTGCTGTGCACATGGCTTCCGAAAGAAATTAAATATCAATTTAGCTAGAAAAATTTAATTTAGTTTAATCCAAAGGTTTAGGAAGTTAAACACAGAAAAATCATTTAATGCTCGAATGCTAACCAGATTAAAGCAATTGCTGAATAAATAAAAAAAATTAGGCTTTTAAGTAAATATTTCGAGTCGCAATGAAAATAGAAATTTTGTTAAGATTCTCAATTAACCCAGTGAGAAAATTAACTTTTCTGGAACTTAATGCGCCAATGTCACCATTTTTAATATCGAAAGCTAAATAAACGTTTCGAATTAAACTAATCTTAGTGGATTTTCTTCATTTCTAGGGAAAGTTAAATTGAAAGGAAAGGAAAGCCATTGATTTTAACTCGAAATGATAAATCAAAATCCTAGTAGACTTTCAATCCATTTCATTTAATGGAACAAATTTAAATAGTCTGCTTTCAGTAGAAAGGAAAATAAGGATGTATATTTAGTAGTTTGACTTTTGCTTTGTTGGTTTCAGGCAACTAAAAATAATAAAATTTCTGACACTGAAAAGTTATCATAAATACTAAAATCTGCGGATGAATTTCTCATGTTTTAGGAAAGGCGAGGCTAAGCTATAGCACGCGATACTGAATTTGCCTCGTCTGATCCCAAAATGGTCTAAGGCCATGATAGAGAAAAGGGCAACTGACAGCTCCATTCGAACCGTATATTTCTCATTTGTTATCCCATGCGATACTATCTAAGACGTTATAGCTGCTTGCTTTAGGAAAGGAATATTTAAAATATTTGCTTCGATTTTCTAGCTATTCTTGAGACAAGTGTTATGGTTCTTGATCCATATATACTGTCAATAATTATGCACAATTTGAAGAAATAAGTGAAGGTTTTTCTAATTTTTCTTGGTTACTAGCATATATTGTAAAGGGAATTTTAACACACTGAGATTTTTTGATTCGGAGGCGTGTTCCACAAGTTCTAAATTTTAAAATTCCTCCTTCGTGGAACGGTATGCACAGCAGGATACCTAGTTGCGATATCTTACCCCTACTCCAATAGAGTTGAACTTTCCTAATCAGTGCCAGAAACATAATCTGAATTCAAATTTATTATATTTTCGACGAATGGATTAGCAGGATTAATAAGTAAGCTGCATATAACTTTGAGAATTAGAAGTGCAATAGAGCTGTTACTCTAGAAAGCCGTCGAACTGATGTGTTTGCATAAATCATGTAACTATAATTAACAGGCAAGAAGCGAATACTTTGGTGCTTTTAAATAAGATGATAGTAAAAACAAGACATACAATAAATCAAGGTACAATTGAGCTTGCAAAATAAAATCTTATAAATTAGAAGTAAACATACAGAAAAATGAGGGAAAATGGAGCAGAAATATTACAGCAGAATCATACATAACAGGCAGACGAGATCGTAAACAGGAACTAATCACTATTGGTGTTGAAAAGTGACATTGGTCTGCTACATTTCAGAGGATCGTTCATATTATGGTGACAGATTTTGACAGCAGGATTATCTGTCAGCTTTTTACTTAGTTAGTTAGTAAGTTGTTATCAAGCCGGTAATAACAGGTTCTTAGTAATTTGACTTGAGTTCCTAGTGAGTTCTGCTGTTTCGCACATACCATGGCGAGTCTTTTATCTAGCGTAGAAGGCCATGGCGAGTCTGTTATCTGTCCGTTTGACCATTGGGGGGCCGTTTTCTGTCCGTTTGGCCATGGCGAGTCCGTTTGGAGTTTCTTTCCGTTAGAACGACAAGAGTAGGTCCATACAGGGATGTATAACACAAAAATGGACGCAAGATGGATTTGTAAAATTAATAACTTGCTGTCAATAGGTAGAACGCTGTTTCGAGCTATTAAAGGGAAAGATCTGTTCTAAATTATAGCTCTCTCTCGATCAAGTGTTGAATACGTATGTGAGTAGGTTAGTTTCGGCAGGTAGCTGATGGTTGTTTGCCGACGTCCTCATGAAAGTTAAGAGTTGGAAGATTCGGGATCAGTTACAGGCAAGAGGATACAGTTGATATTTAAAATTGCCTAAATGTTTGGATTCTGATAAGGAAATATGATAAACGACTTTTCTTTACCAAACTTATTTAGCCGACTGAGCATCACCTCTTCTTTCATTCGCTTCTAAGATGGGGAATACACGAAATTGAAGTGTATGGGCATTGTTTGTCTCACCCATCTTCCACATGAAAAACACGAGTTCAGTTCTAGAGAAAGTTAATTTCTTAAGATTTCTTACTCCAGGAACTTAATGATTTACTTTATAAAAAAAAGAATGATTTACATGCACCATTCCTACTAATTTTTACAATTATCAGCAAAGGTCGTCGACCTCTTTTATAAATAAACATTTAAAAGCCTCCAACGGGTGGACATTATTTTTAAAAACTGTTTCCTTTAAAAAGAAAGAAATGAACAAGCTAAACGTTTTCTGAATCAAAGAGAAAGCATGATGTACAAAACGAACGTTAAATTTTATTAATTAAATTGTGTTACGATGTCATAGAA